TGATCAAGGCATGGACTGCCCACTGCTGTTGGCTCAGGGCCAAGTTCCTGGCTGTGGCCTGCTGGGCCTGGCCTTCCTCACCAGACTCGTCTGGGGCCTTTCTTTCCTGAATTCTCTGGCTCTGGTCCTTTTAGCTCTCCAATGGGCCGTGACCCCGTCCTCTGCCCGGACCACTCCTGCCCCTGTTCCATCACCTGGTGAACTCCCTAAGGCCTCAGCCGTGGTTATAATTCTCACAGCAGAAATCCACTTGACCTGCTTCTCTCTCCCTCCATCTTAGTTAGCCTGAGTCAATTACAAGGTCTGATCGCTTAGGCACTTTAATCAATCCCCATTTACAAGTGTAGAAACCAAGGCCCGGGGGCCGGCCCGGTGACGCAAGCGGTTAAGTGTGCGCGCTCCGCTTCAGCAGCCCAGGGTTCGCAGGTTCGGATCCCAGGTGCACACCGACGCACCACTTGTCAAGCCATGCTGTGGCGGCGTCCCATATAAAGTGGAAGAAGATGGGCACAGATGTTAGCCTAGGGCCAATCTTTCTCAAAAAAAAAAAAAAAAGAGGAGTCTTGGCATCGGATCTTAGCTCAGGGCTGATCTTCCCCACACACACACACAAAAGAAACCAAGGCCCAGAGAGGTTGAGAACCTTGTTGAGGTCGCTGAGCCATCAGGAGGCAGAGCTGAAATTCAAACCCACAACTGACTCCAGCTGGTGGCAGTGCATCACAACTAACGGTGCTGGTGCAGCAGCCCGAAGCTCATCTTGGGCTGTCACTGCCTCCCTGGGCGCCCGCGGGAGGCTCACCTGTCCAGCCTCGCGTCTCATCCCCTCACCTCCCCACCTTGTGCTCCAGCCGGGTGGTGCCCACCCCCCGCTTCTGCATGGATCATAGGCTCTTCTGCTCCCCCGCACCTGCAAAGGCTTCTCTCCTGGTGCCTGTCTGTGTTCTTGTCTGTCTCTCCTCAACCCTGGCCTTCCTGACGACAGGAGCTGCGTGTCTTATTCCTACATGTGCACCTCCAGTCCTGGCTCATACTAGCTGCTCACTAAATGGTGAGCAAATAACTAACTTGGCTAATATGTCGGGAACAAGTGTTGGTTCTCACGGGTCATTCGGCAAGAACGTTTTGTTCATCTTTGCCCCAGCATCCTGCCTTAGCCCTCAGGGGCCCAGACCCTTGTCCACCGAGGCTTTCCAGGGCCGGGAGGCCACAGCTGGAGACTCCCCTGAGCTCCTGCCCTGGGAATGGTGTCCCAGCTTTCCAAAGTCTGCTGGTGAGCTAATGTTCCCATGTACCATCCATGCACGAGAGAGAACGACATCTCATAATAGCAGAAGCCACTGCTCACCGTGTGCTCACCGTGTGTCAGGCTCCCTGGGTGCCAGTACCCCTTACATGCCCTCTTGCCTTTAATCCTCAACAGCCCAATGAGGTAGTTCTTTTATCTCCATCTTCAACTCACAGATGGGGAAACCAAGGCACGCAAAGCTTAAATCACTTGCCACACACTCCCCACCTCCCCATATGCCCCTTTCAAATTAGACTGGACCTGACTGGCCCGACTCAGGGGGAGTCCATCTCTCCCAGGCCGTCTATGTTTCTGGAAAGTGTTCATTCATTCATTCACTCATTTCTTCATTCCACAATTAAATGCCTAACTATGTGTGAGTTACTGTTCTGGTGAACAAGTGCTTCCCTCTCGCCCTCCAGCCATGATCCCATAAGAGGCCAGTGCCACCATCCAGATGTAAGACCAGGGGTTTTGTCAAAACTGCCATATCAATCAGAGAGATCCCAGAAGGCCCCTTGTCCATCAAACCCGGCAGGGTCCTGAGATTTGGATCAGTGCCCCTTGCCAGGGGTCTCCAGCCTACAAAGTCACCATGGATACATGGCGGGGCCAGACGCCTGCCTCACTGTCCCCTCCACCCTCCCATTGCCATGGAAGCAGTGGGGGCAGGGAGGAGCCTTGTGAGTCTGGAAGTGCAGAGAAGACCCTGAAGGGCAAGAAGATTCTGGGGGAGCTGATCTGAAGGGCAGACCCCCAAGGGACCTCCCTCCTTTCCTCCCCAAAATAACATTCTATAGAACAGCAGGGTCAGGAGGGAAGGTCACCTGGTCTTCCAGCTAGAAATGTCACCAATTAGATTTATTTGGGTCACAAAATAATTCTTTAAAGAGCAAAGTAGGGCAGCCTGGCAGAGTGGAAAGAACACACATTTCAGAGGAAGATAGACTTGGGTTCCACTGTGAGCTTCTCTGCTCTCTAGCTCAGCGTCTTAGAGAAATTAGCAAATGTCTCTTGGTCTTGGTTTTCTCATCTATAAAATCGGGATCATGAAGCCTACCAAACAGGGACGTTGGGATTGGACATAATACAATGTTTGTAAAGTACTCAATCTAATGTCTTGTACACAACAGGTGCTTAATAAGGCAACTCTAGGTGCTGGTGCTACCTCAGTGTAAGTGTGAGAGAGAGATAATTGCCCAACTTCCTTTTTGTTTCCCCCATGCCAAGCTAGCCCTGGGGGAATGATTCCTAAGATCCTGGACTCCACACCCGCTATTGCTCCTAAGTCTTAACCCTCCCTCCTCCAGGTCCCATCCAGGCCCCTCCCTTTCACAGGCCCGCCGGCTCCCCAGTGCTGCTGGGGCTCTTCCCTATGTCTTGGGGAAGTCTTCCCTCAACTGAGGGGAGACTTTAGGCCCCTGGAAAACCGCCTTCTTTTAGCAATTTGGAAAACCTGGGACATGCTCCTAAACAGGCTGGAGCAGGGAGGCAGCAGGGCGATTGCTGGCGCAGACGCCCGAAACTATGGCTGACCCTTCTCTCTCACCCCCTACATCAGCAAATTCTGTGGCTCTACCCGCGAATACTTCCAGGATCTGACAGCCCCCACCCCACTGCCACCTCCCTGGGCTGGGCGCCTAATCTCTCTCCCCTGGGGTTTTGCAAAGCCTCTTGACTGGTCTCCTTGCTTTAGCCCTTGTTCCCTTCAGTTGTGCTCAAGCCAGACTGATCCTGTGACAATGGAAGTCTGGGACTCTTTTCACAAAGATGGCACTGAAAACGAAGGAGGAAGCCCCTGCGCCTCCCAAAACCGAAGCCAAAGCAAAGGCTTTGAAGGCCGAGAAGGCAGTGCTGAAAGGCGTCCACAGCCACACACACAAAAACATCTACACATCACCCGCCTTCCTGAGGACCAGGAAACTGTGGCTCTGAAGGCAGCCCAACCATCCTTGGAAGAGGGGCCCCGGGAGAAACAAGCTTGACCACTCTGCCGTCATCAAGTTCCCAACCACCGAGTCCACCATGAGGAGGACAGAAGACAGCAACACACTCGAGTTCATTGAGGATGTCAAGGCCATCAACACCAGACCAGACAGGCTGGGTACAGGCTCTACGACATCACGTGGCCAAGGCCACCACCCTGATGGGGTCGGATGGAGAGAAGGAGGCATGTGTTTGACTAGCTTCTAACTATGATGTTTTGGGTGGTGCCAACAAAATCGGGATCCTCCAAACTGAGTCCAGCTGGCTAATTCTAAATATAAATTTTTTCATCATAAAGAAAGAAACAAACAAACAAATGGAAGTCAGGTCCCATCACTTCTTTGCTCCAAACCCTCCAGGGGCTCCTATCCCATGCACAGTCTCTTGTCCCCTGCTCCTAGTAAGGACCTCGTCTCCTGCCTCTTCCCAGCTCTGCTCATGCGGTTCCCATTGCACTGGCCTCCGTGCTGCTCCTGGAACACTCCCAGCTTAAGGGCCATCAGGGGACCAATGCCTGGAATGCTCTCCCCGCAGGTCCTGCTCCATGTTCCCTTATCAGACACCACTCCATGTAAAAAAGCAACCCCCTCCCTCCCACCACACTCCGTTCCCTCCATCCTCTCACCAGCATTCTTCCTCTCAGGTCTTATCATCTCCTCCCATCAGCCCCACCAGATCACAGGACTTGATCTTTCTGTTCGCTGCAATGCCTATGCTTTGCATAGTCGAGACCCTCAACAAGGATTTCTTGTACGAATAAATGAGTGGACCGGCAACTACGTTGTAAATGCCCACCCCCTCCTGCTAGACACCTTCTAATCCCCAGGCTGAGGGACGTTAGGAAACTTGCCAGAAGGCAGCTGTCCTCTGGTGGAGCGAGAACTGGGAGCCAGCTGGGCCTGACTCCAAAGCCTGTGGGTACCCCTCCCGGAGAGACGTTATAACCTTCCTCCGCTGCCCTCTGAGCTGGGCACTGTGGGAGACACCGGTGGCGGTGGCGTTCTTACAGATTCTGTAAGACAGGTTCCTGCCCTCAAATCCGGTGAGACAGAGAAGCAAATGGATGTATTTAAAAACAGTGCCTGGCAAATAACAGGTGCCCATAAATACGTTTTGTTGTTGAACAGCGTGCGGAGATATTTCTGTGGGTCCCAAAGGAGGCACCCAAGTGTGTTGATGAGGAGCGAGGAAGGGGCTGGAAGAGACTTCCGGAGGGAACATTTGGAGTGGACCCTGAAGGGTAGGAGTTTGCCAGGAGCCAAGGGGCCTGGAGAGCGGGAACAGCACGGAGGGAAGAAAAGAAATCGATCTGACAAAATGGACTTGGAAGAGCTATGAAAGCCATGTGAGGGAGTATTATTGGTGTCAGAGTTCCCCCACGTGGCCCCATGGCCCCAGCCTGAGATCAGCGGACAGTGCCGGGATCTGGCCTCACCCCTGACAGGCCACGGGGCAGGCGGCAGGCTGGGGGCCGACCTGACGCTGCGGCGTCGTAGGAGGGCGAGGCCGCGCCCCGCCCACTGGCCGTCTGCCCGCTTCGGCCCTTCGCACCGCGGCTCTCCGGGTGGGCGGGGCCCGAACGGCCGCGGCGGGCCCGGTCCTTGGTGACGTCACCACGGAGGCGGGGCTCAGGGCTGTGGGGCGTGGCCCAACGAGGCGCCTGGCTCCGCCCCTAGAGGGGCCGCGGCGGGGAAGAACGGCAGTCTGCCCGCCTCCGCCCGCCTACGTGCTCCTGCAGCCCCGCCCCTCGGCTCCGTGCGCAAGGTCGTGTCCCGGAAGTGAAGGGGCCATGTTGCTGGGTGACCCCGGGAGAGATACCCGGCGAGAGGCGAATCCTGAGGAGCCGTAGTGCGCGCGGTCTGCGGGTGAGTGAGAGGAGCAGCGAGGCCCGGGGCCGGGGGCGGGGGCTCGCCGAGCCTCCTGTCGGGTCGGCGGCCTGCGCCCCCGATCCGGCCCGGGCAGGGTCCCTGCTCCCGGAGGCCTCCCGAGGCCCGGAGCCGGCCTCCCCAGCCTCGGGGTCACCCGCCCAGCTCGGCCCAGCCCCCCGGGTCGGTGAGGAAGTGGGGACCGGCCGGGGCTCAGCCGCCCGCTCGCCAAGCGACCTGGTAGTAACAGCCCTCGCGTGACAGTGGCCTCCAACAGCACTTTTCTTGTGGGTTTTCTGGACTCATCTCTCCCGCTCCGGAGGCCCCTGGGGCCGAGGGGGCCTTCTACAGTTGAGGAAAAGGGGACAGGGACGGCGGCTCGGGCTTGCGCAGGAAGTTAGCGAGGCCGGAGGCCAACGGCTAGCTGACTCAGGGCACGAAGTCCAGCTCTTCTGCCAGTCACGTACTTCCCCCACTCGGCCTCATTCCTTTATTTCTGAAACAGGGGGATCATTTCTTCCGCGTAGGACCTTGTGAGGATTCCCTCTTCATTCGGCTTATTTTTTAAGCCCCTGGTGTGCCAGGCGCTGGGCTGGGAAAGTTTGTGGAGGCCCCAGCAAGTGGTAACTGTCGTTACAGAGGCTGCAGAGTGGGGGTCAGGAGTGCAGCCCCCCTGGACAGCTGTGGGCAGGTTACTTCCCTCCGGGAGCTTCAGTTTCCTTCACTTAAAATGGGGATAACGATGACACTGGGATCGTTGATAGAGTGAGATGAGTTGTTCTGTGGGACGTGCTCAGAACGTGCATGGTACAGAGTAAATACTAAGTGTCCACTAGTACTCTTCTGGGCCCTGACTGCCTCCTAGGTTCCTTTAAAAGATTTTATTTATTCAGTTTTTTTCCCCCCAAAGTCCCAGTAGATAGTTGTATGTCATAGGTTCACATCCTTCTAGTTGCTGTACGTGGGACTCGGCCTCACGTTGGACGGAGAAGTGGTGCCTCGGGGCGCTCACGGGATCCGAACCCGGGCCGCCAGCATCAGAGCGCGCGCACCTAACCGCTAAGCCACGGAGCCGGCCCTAGGTTCCTTAATTTAAATGGGATAATGGATGACAAAGCACTTTACAAATGATAATGCTCTGTACTTGTGCCAGGGTTTATTGTTATTGAAGAAAGATGGTGGCAGTTTGTATGTAACTAAATGTAATATTTTTGAGGGGTTACAAACCAGGCTAGGTGACACTGGCAATGGCTATGCCTGACAGAGTGCTTACTATGTGCCAAGCGCCGTTCTAAACTTGCTTGCATACGTTAACTCAGTTAGTCCTTGTACCAACCGTTTGGCCGGAATACAATTTTAATCCTCATTTTACAGATGGGGAACTGAGATAAGCACAGAGAGGATAAGAAACTTGCCCAAGGTAATCAGCTCATAAGTGGTGGCACCAGGATTCAAGTATGGCTGAGAGTCCACCCCTTGTGGTGAAGTTCTCTTCCAGGTGCTTTACATGCGTTATCTCACGCAGTTCTCAAAATAACCGCACGTAGTGGGTACTGCTGAGTAATATCATCATCTCCGTTTTACAGAGGAGGAAGCTGATGCTCAGAGGGGTTAAGTAATTTGCCCAAAGTCATTTGGCAAGTAAGTGGCAGAGCCAGGATTCAAGCCCAGGCAGTCCAGCTTCTAAGCCCTGGTCCTTCAGCAGAACCTGTACTTTCCCAGAAGCGGGAGTCAGGAGGCTGGGGTCTAGTCCTAGCCCTGCCACTAAGTCATAGTGTGACCTTGGAGGGTCTCTGAGCCCTAGATTAAGAACTTGAATTGTAGATAGTCTCTCTAGGCCCTTCTATTATTAATTCTGATTCTAGGCTTCTATTTTTTTCCCTCTGTTTATAGCTTGACGCCCACCCCCTGCCAGTCCCCCATGGCCCCATGGAGCCGAGAGGCGGTGCTGAGCCTCTACCGGGCTCTGCTGCGCCAGGGCCGAGAGCTTCGCTACACTGATCGAGACTTCTACCTTGCCTCCATCCGCCGTGAGTTCAGGAAAAATCAGAAGCTAGAGGATCCTGAGGCCCGGGAGAGGCAGCTGGAAAAAGGCCTGGTCTTCCTCCACAGCAAACTGGGGGGGCTTATTTAGGATCCTCTCCTTTCCCCTCCCATCCTAATTCCAGGGGAAAGAGGACAAAGGTGCCTTCTGTAGACACTCCTGCTCTCTCCCAGCCCCACCTCACAGATGCAGTAAGAAGCCTCAGGTAGGTAGATCCTTGTTCCCATAGGTTTCATTTCTTCTGATTCAAGGGACCAGGAGAGAGAGACCCTTTCCTTTTAGTGATCAAAGTGCTTTAGTCGTTGGAAATCAATGGAGGAAATACAGACGTAATAATAGAAGTATGTTCCCTTACTGAAAAAAAATAGGCCCTGAGTTTCAAGTCCCACTAGAACAGAATTGTTATCACCATTTTATTTCATGGAACATTTTACATATGAAAATGTTAGAAAAGACATTGGTTAAAAACTATTAGAACTCAGTTCCAGGCTGGCTCATTCTTCAGTGGATTCCGTTATCTTGTGGGTCAGATCACGTTCCCCGAAACATAACTCTATTTTGGGGATTTAGGGAAAATCACTAAACTTTTTCAGGCCTCTGTTTCCTCATTTGTAAAATGGAGATAATAATACCTGCCTCTTCAGGTTACGATGAGAATTAAATGAGCACTTGGAGTGGTACTTGGTGTGGTATATCAGCTCAATTTACTCCTGATACCAGTGTTACCAAGAAGTCCCACTGTACCCTAATGATTATGTTTAATTCAGCAACTTTCCCAGAGGGCCTTCTGTGGCCCCGGCATCTGATAGGCTCTACGATAGAGATGATGGTATGGTCCATCAAGGGACACGGTCTGATGCAGAGATCACTGGGAAGTAATTCCAGTGTGAGCAGCTCTGTACTAGAGGGTCGTGTTAAGAGCTTGGAGACAGGGCTGAGGACATAACTCTGCCTTGGAGAGGGTCGTGGTAAGGGTCACAGGTGGCTATGGAAAAGAGGACATTTGAGGTCTGCTTCAGATGAGAAATAGAAGCTTGCTGGGCACATGAGGAAGAATAAGCAAACGTGGAGGTGGAAACTGCATTTTGTAGTCTGGAAACTTGAGTCTGGCATGGCTAGAATGTCGCACTTGTAAGGCAGGTGGCTGGAGTTGAGGCTGGTCCAGGTCTGGAAGGACACTGAATCCTCTGTTGAGGAAACTTGTGATGTTTCACCGTAGGGGGACCATCACAGCTTTGTAAGCAGGGGAATGACGTGGAAGAGGGATCGTGGCAGTGGCAGTGTGGAGAATGAATTAGTCAGAGATCCTGGAGGCAGCGAATCTGGCCAGAGGAGACTGAGGGACTGAGGGACTAAGGTGGTGGGGTGGCAGCACATAAAGACAGCGTGTACAGCAGTGGGACTTGGTGAGCAGTTGGCTGAGGCAGGAGGAGGAGAAAAGAATGAAGGGTGACTGTGAGCTGTAAGGCCTGCCAGCTGGGTGGAGGGGGCTGAGAGGGAAAGCAGGAGCAGGAGGCTTATGTCATGGCTTTTGGTTCTCCTCAGCCACTTGGGTTGAGTGGCAGACCCCCTTTGGCGGTGAAGGGCCAGGGCTGGATGGGTGCCCGTGGGAGCCTGCCTACACGGGGAAGGGTAGCCGGTCCAGAAGTGAAATAGCTAGTTGCCGAGTCTTTGTGCTCCTAATCCATTTTGACTGTGAGTTAGGTTACAGGTTGCCACCACCACCTCCTCAAACAAACAAACAAAAAAGCTGTAGAGTTAATAACTCATTCATGAACAAATATGTACTGTGTATCAAACACTGCTGGCCTCAAGGACACAGCAGTGGATGAGCCCAACTGCCCCCAGGAGCGTGTGTTCAGAGGTTAGTAGAGGGGAGATGTGAACAAGGTGGGGTTGCAAGCTACTTGGGGCCCCTGTAAACTCCTCCCAGCAGCGTGAGCTCGCTTCAGATCTTGGCTGCACAACTTACCCACGTGGTGACCTTGGGCTGGTTACTTAACCTCAGCCCCAGTTTCTTCGTCTGTAAATTGGAGATAACAATATGACTGACCTCACGGGATTGTTATTGTGAGGACTAAGGGAATTAATACGTGTAAAATGCCCAGCACATGGTACGCACTCACTATATGTCAGCTAGTCTTGTGGGTACTCAACGACTGGGTAAACACCAGACATGTTTAAGTCATACGACTTTTGTAAGTGAAATAAGTTGGGATTTTCATAGTTCTGTGCTGTCATCCTAGGAAGCTGCAGGGCCTCCATTACTCATCATCCCCACTATATTGGGGTGATGAGTTTATGTCCCCATTTTTGTAGGGGAAGGGTAGCCGGTCCAGAAGTGAAATAGCTAGTTGCCGAGTCTTTGTGGGAGACAGGTGACAGGTGAAATAACTTGACTGAAATGTTGGCAGAGCTCAGATTCTCCATCCCTAGTCCTGCCTGCCAGGTCATTCTTCCTTCTTCCTTTAAAAAAAAAAAAAGTAACCATTTTTAAGTGCATAGTTCAGTAGCATTAAGAATATTCACATTGGGGCCGGCCCTGTGGCATAGCAGTTAAGTGCTCGCTGCTCCGCTGTTGGCGGCCCGGGTTCGGATCCCGGGCGCGCACCGATGCACCGCTTCTCCGGCCATGCTGAGGCCGTGTCCCATATAAAGTGGAGGAAGATGGGCACGGATGTTAGCCCAGGGCCAGTCTTCCTCAGAAAAAAGAGGAGGATTGGCATGGATGTTAGCTCAGGGCTGATCTTCCTCACAAAAACAAAAAAAACATTCACATTGTTGTGTAACAGATCTCCAGAGCTGTTTCTTCTTGCAGAATTGAAAGCCTATACCTGTTAAACAACAGCGCTCCTTCTTGGTTGCACTGAGGAGCCAGGCGCTCTCGCCCTGTCAGGTGGGGTTGCTGTCTCCTAGTAGGCTCCCAGCTAGTGCGGGAGAACCTGAGTGGAGGATGTGCACAGGAGAAGCAGTTTCAGCTGGACCAAGTTAGGTGTTAGCATAAGTCCTTGTATCTTCCAGTTGGACTTGTGGATGCTCTCTCCTTTTCCAGGTCGCCTGGTCTGACATCCCCTGGTCCTTGGATGTGGGGGAGTGTATTGCACTAGAGCAGGAAAGCCTAGTCACAAGCCTGCTCAACTGAACAGTGTTGGTCTTCAGCCCAGGACAGCATCAGTGTGAGTTCCAGAGGCCATTCTTAGCTCTGTCTCAGAAGGGGAAATGTAACAGAGGACAGTCTGAATTGCTGGCTGCCTTCTGGAAGTTGACCTTTTGTCCTGTGGATGGAATCTTTTTTTTTTTTTTTTAATAAGTTTTGTTTTTTTTTGTTATTTTATTTATTTATTTTTCCCCCCAAAGGCCCAGTAGATACTTGTACATCATAGTTGCACATCCTTCTAGTTGCTGTATGTGGGACGCTGCCTCAGCATGGCCGGAGAAACAGTGCGTTGGTGCGCGCCCGGGATCCGAACCCGGACCGCCAGCAGCAGAGCATGTGCACTTAACCGCTAAGCGACAGGGGCCGGCCCCTGTGGATGGAATCTTAAAAGACTTAATGATAGCCCACATTTGTGGAGTCCTTTACAGTTTATAAAGTGTTCACATACAGTGTTTGAGTAGATGTATTTTCCTCACTTCCACCCTCTGATTTAGGCCTTGCAGGCGTCATTATCCCCTTTTCATAGCTGAGAGGTTAAGTCACCCAGCTAATAAGTCAGGGCCCAAAGGCAAGTACTCAGTCTCAAGATTTCTGAGTCTAAAACCCAGGCTCTTTTCTCTTATGCCACGTCACTGCCTCACTCTTACCAGTCATCAGATGGGCCAAGGACTAAATGGCCCAGCAAGGCTCCTCTGGCTTCTGCTTGGGAGAGGAGGAGCCATTCTGGTCCTGCTGCAGCACATCCCAGGATCATTTAGGGGGTGCCTGCCTCCATTGCTTCCCTACAGTAAATACATCACTAAAGGTTCTTCTGTTTTGTTTTGTTTTAAAAAAATAAAACAGTGGTCATTGTTATGTGTGGGGAACCATGTATATTCTACTTTTTCCTGATTGGATTAGTGTGCTCAGCTGAGTTCTTGCCTGACCCCACCTGTAAATACAAAGTTTAACTCTTCTTCTTGGCCTTGCTTGCCTCTGTGCATTTGGAGTGGGAATGTATTTCAACTGGCCAAGTAGTCTCTCAGTATGTCCCAAGGGCCAGCCCGGTGGCGTAGCGGTTAACTTCACGCGCTTCGCTGTGGCGGCCCGGGGTTCGCAGGTTCAGATCCCCGGCGCGCACCGACGCACCGCTTGTCAAGCCATGCTGTGGCGGCGTCCCATATAAAGTGGAGGAAGATGGGCACGGATGTTAGCCCAGGGCCAGTCTACCTCAGCAAAAAGAGGAGGATTGGCAGATGTCAGCACAGGGCTGATCTCCTCACACACAAAAAAAAAGGTATTTTGTGTGTGTTTAGGAGGAGTGCAACAAAGGCAAAC